GGTGCCGCTGTTGCCAGAGCAGCAACCCACGCTCGCCCAGCGTCGCGATCCCCAGGCCGAACCTCCGCCGCCTCCCGCCAGCATCGGCAACTGACGCCGCCGCAGCTCGCGCTGTCGCTTCATCAGCGTTTTAATAAACTTGATCGAGATCTTAGAAAAATACGTATCGAAACGCCACATGTGTATCACTCAAACACAGGCCAGAGACACAGCAGGTGACAAGGCAGGTAACAAGGGAGGGAGCTGAGACACTCCCGAGACAGTGATTTTTCCTTGAAAATACTGAATTGTTAAAAAAAACCCCATTTTTTCCCCCACAGGAGAGAGAAAAGAACAACAAACCAACAAATGTCCTGCTCTCAAAAGTTTCTGAAGCTGAAGTTTGGCCATTGCCCAGTTCCCAATCTAAAGTATTTTTTGGAGTCTGAAATTAAGTTTAAAAAAATTCTGAACTGAAACAGAACACCTTTGTGTTCTTCAGCTTTTGACATGGCTTTTAGCTTCTCTTGAAATAGATTTTAATTTCAAAATGTTCAAGGATTAGGTATCATTTCCCATCCAGCAATAACTGGAAACCAGTATGAATGAGAAGGGAATCACTGGGAACAGTTTTATAGAAAGAGAAGTGTAAAGACAGTTATTTAGTTATTCAAATTATGTAAAGTTGATCCTAGTAGCAACACCAGCCGAAACATAATTTGAAGTGTTTGAAATCAAAAGGTCACATTACTGAAGTCACAGTCACAGAAAAGTGATCTTGAAAATGAGCCCGAAATAGTTTCTGGAATGCTGCAACCCAAGGCAGACTATGGCTAGTGCCTGGGGACGTTTATTTTTCTTTTTTCTCTCCTGCCCTATATAATTCAGGAAATTAAACATCACAGGTGCGATGTAGGAAATGCATACACTATAGATGTTCAGCTGCTCTTCTTTCTTCTTGCAATTGACAAGTACTCCCTAGAAAAATTAAAAGAATAGACCATCTTAGGTGAATCCTTTAAATCAGATTATGAAATGAAATTTCACTAATCTGAAAGACCTCTTGTTAAGTTTAAACTCCCAAGGAAATGGCGGCGAGGGCAGCAGTGCAAGCACTCTGGGATTATGATGAATAATATGAATATGTTTTGGCTATTACGATTGCTCATTTCGGATGCCTGTTTTCTGGACTTCTTTAACATTCATGCTGTCAAGCTACTGCATATGCAAGCCTGACTTTACAATGTCACAAATGACACAGTAATAAAGTACAGCAGTTGTTTCCAAGTGTCAGTCTTGAATAATTAACGCCAATGTAGAATTTGCAAGCACAATTCCCTCTCTCAAAATATGGGGTTTAAGTATTTTAAAAACAGGAGACAATTGTGAATGGCTCTTATTCCATTTAGAGATTGTCCATCTCTTTCCTGATTTAAAAGGCAACATGAACAACAAAACATTTTCTTTTTCTTCTGCTGTGTAAAATGATTCTGAAGTGAAGTCAATTTCTTGAAATCTTATCCGTCACTGAAAAGAACAGCAATAAGAAAAACAGTTAGTAATCAAGCTCATATCAGAATTCCAACCCCATAAGAACATTTTTGTTGGAACCAGACCACTGCTTTTGGCCTTTTTTTTTTTTTTCTGAAAGAGAACAGCACATTTTCTTTCACAGAGATGTTCATTTTTATAATTGCTTTTTCTGTTGAAAACCCAAAGTTATTCAGCAGTGAAATGTTTCTAGACAGGTATGCTCGAAAACATACACACCTGCCTAATCTGGTTCCTGTGCAAATGCAGTACTTGATCCTCAGCTATCTGTGAATGTATTTTAAGCATAACTCATCATTAGTGAGTTATGTGAAGTTATCTGTGGACAAGTTAAATGGAAATAAAAATGTAACCTGATTCTGCACTATATTCAGAAAACACCTTAGCAGTCAGAGCCAGTGCACATCTTATTAACCATTCTTTAAGCACATAATATTTGGGTAGTCTCATTTAAAAACTCTGAAGTATTCGAAGTTCCCAAGGGTATAGTTACTATGCTATGAAATTCGTTGCTTTCTGGATCAAATGGCAGAATTAAAAGCATTCAGAGCTCCATCCTTTTCACATTAGGTCAATGTGTTCCCACTGACTTTAATATCCCACTGACTTACAGGATCCAGCTGTATTTTATCATCTTTTCAGAAACTTGCATATTTTTGTAAGAATTAAAGATAAAAACAGACAACTTACCTGAACACTGAAGCATTTTCCATGCCTGCTGAAACTGGTCTCTTAATACTTTAATTTTATTTACTTTTTCTTGGGTAGGAGGTACATAAGCTCCGAAGTGAGGTGTAGAAGCACCCGCTAACGCTTTGGCTACACTTTGCATTAAATTTATCTCTGTGTCCTATTTAACAAGAAAAAAAAAAACAACTCCTGGGAACCAAACTTTCTCTGTTTCAGTAATACATGAAACTGTGTCAAGTTGTCAGAACTACTGTCTATACACAAAACCATGGGTTTGCATTCATGCCTCAGCTTCTTAGTCATGCAGGCTGCCTACAGCTCGGTATGCATCCGTGTCTGGTCTTTTTCTCGGGCCAGAGCGAAACTGGGGCTCTTTGTGTCATGAGCTCAGGGGCACCAAGGACAGTATAGATACAGCCAATATGCTATATTGGGCAGCTTGAAGCATTTCACACCAAGCATGCTGCTGCTTGATTTCAGTTCTGTCCTAGGCACCCTGAAGTACCACAGCTTAGCACCACTTCTTACCTCGATCACTGCAAAAATTCGAGACTCAGCTAATCCTTGCAGTAAAGCAAAAAGCAGAGAAATCCCACTTGTTCCAAGGCTCCTGTTTGGTCCAACAGCTATTACTGTCAAGTTTGGTTGATAACTGTATGCTACAGGAAGAATGAATCCAAGTACAGCAGAAAAGAAGTCATTTCCTTCAGCATCCTTTAACAACAATGAGAAACTGTTTAGCACAAATGTAAAGCCCCACATCCTAGAAATAAAACAAAGCAGTAAGGCTGAATCTCAACAAGCTTTTGACTGGCCTAGGAAACAGGATACTGATCTGTTTTCACAGCAATTTTTATATTAAACATGCAGATCATTCGTCTTTTCCTTAGTGCCTTTACACTGTAACTCTGCCTTCTTGATGAACTACAGAAGCTACTGAAGGTTTCCTCAACCTTATGCATTCTAACACACTTTAAAGATCTGTGAAGGAGTAGTACCTTGGCAAGGACAAGAAAAGGAAATACTTTCAATGGTCCAAATTGCAGTGAGGGGTGTAATTCTCAGTGTCATTTTCTAAATTTATAAATATATTATTTTATTTCTGTTAAAAAAGTTTTTCTCTTGTGTTGCCTTCAGAAAGTGAATCTTACCTCTTTCCAGTTCAGTGAAATATAGTGTTTGCAGCTGGTCTTTCCAGACTGTTCTTTCTCACAAATATGTATGATGAGTGTTTTTCTGTAAATAAAAACCACACTTGAGTACTTAACAAAACTTCCAATAAGAAAAAAAGATCTTTTCTTTCATCATTCTTTAAATACTAATTCATAACACAGGAGCAAATAACTATCTGCATTACTACATGCCATAATGTAAACACCAATTAAAACTGAGATCCTTTTCAAGGTGATTTAAAAAAGAGAATTAAAGACTATGGGCAAATTATAAAAAGGGGAAATTGCAAAAAAAGTTATAGATAATAAAGATGACTTTCAATAAGGAACTTAGCATCAGCAGTATGTGCCCCCTGCAGTTATAGGGGGGTAAACCCTAGGTAATTAATAATTGCCTTCTTTATTACTTTCTATTTTTAATATTATATTTTAAATATCCTGTTTTCAATAACAATCTAAATTTCAATTAATATAGAAGGATTATACTTTAAACCTACCACTAAACTCAGAAAGTGGCACTTAAAAGATAGCAGTTCATCTTTAGAGATCTATTTAGGGATGTTTTGTATTTTGTCTCAAGCTAAACTTCAGGAACATGAGCTCATGACTGATTCCGTAGTGCTGGTTTCATCATACATATGGACACTTCAGAACATTTATGAGGCCTTTGAAATGTGACCTCCTGAAGTAAAGAGAAACCTCACCCATCTTCCGTGTCTGGCATGACTTGCATGTCTCCAACAAATATGCAAAGCACTCTGCAGAAAACAAAGAAAAATATACATACATTTACAACTATAAGCAATTCTTTTCAATTAGTGCAATTTGTTTAGGGTTTACATGTAGATTTCATCTATAAAAAAGAATGTAAATTGTTTCCAAATCTGGTCCATTAAAAGAAAACCCATTTATGATAGCTCAAGGGAACTCCTTTTCTCCCACCAAATACTGGGGAGAAAAAACAAAACCAAGAAAATGTCCTCAGGCCAAAACCAAGAGAAATCTGACAAAATGTAGGCTAGCACAGCAGTCATCCTTACAGATGTCTTGCCTTTGGTAAGGCAAAAGGTTTTTGCTGGCATATACAATATTGTCTGTACTACATTTTGAAAATGCTATGCCTATGGAGATGCTGTTTGTTTTAAAAATAAGGTTTCAAAGGCAATTTGCTGTATTTCACACACTTTTATCTTATTTTTACATTTTGTCAAAGGGCCTCAAAGTCAAAAGATACAAATTCACCTTTGAAATCCAAAACGAACAGAATGTCTTACTGTAACAGCAACAGAAACAGAAGGTGTGGGTGATTCTGCAATCCCATTGCGTACCTACAAAATACATTTTTAATTCAGAAATAATTAATGGCACAAAAGATCATGTCATTTCTTATTTGTAACAACTGTATTTTTACTTGTTGGTATGTATCATTCGAAGAAAGCTACAGCACAATGAAGGGGATCTTAATGATCTGTCATAGTAGGGTTAAGAAAATATTATTAAATAATTTTCTACAAAAAGGCCATATTTGATTATTATGCCAAGATTTGTTCTCTTACTTCAAAAGTATGGTGCTATGCTGAAAGGCAACTGTAAAAACAGCTTTTGCAGAGGAAGGTAATCTTTCTTGGTTCTCTTGATAAGTCTGCAGGTTGGATACACTCAGTTTGCCAGCAGGCAAACTGCACTAGAAAAATACACCCTATGAAAAGGAAGTTGTCCCTGAATTCAGACTCTTCCTTTCATCTAGGCAAGCTATTCCTTTCTGGAACATATAATGACAGTATTCAGCATTCATTTATGTTGTGTAGTGCTTTGAACTCTACATGAAAGCTAAGCAAAAAGATAATGCATGCTCCCCTTCCTCACTCCTCCTCTTTCTATCTGTCAACACAAAAAACTCAGCTTAGTATCTGCAACTTATGAAGAGTTCTATTTCTTTTTGCCCATTAACATTTTTTTTTAATCTATTTATAGGCTCTCCTAGAAGTATGTGCAGTCTATGCTGTTAGTCAACATACGTCACTTCCAACAGCAAGAAGATGGCTCACAAGAAAGAGGCCATTCTGGTAGTTAGTATTCCTTGCAGGCCTGGTACTTTAAAGAGAGCTTTTCATTCCAAGGGAGAGACAGTTTTATTATGACGTAATAATCTTCTGTTTTCTTGTTTGCAGTTTTTCTCTATGTATAAAAACTTGAAGAAGCAAACATACAGACATGCACCCTCTAAGCCTGTCTTCTCTTCATTCCTGACCCTGCAGGAATCAAAATGCTGAACTGGAATTACTCTGTTCAGAATCACAGCATACAGCAGTGTTTTCAGCAGCTCCACTAAAGCAACGTGTGTGTGTGTGTGTGTGTGTGTGTGTGTGTAAATCAAAATTTACTGGAGTAAACTGTTGCACAAATAACAGTAAGTGGGTGCAGCTGCACATAGCATGGTGTTTTGTAATGAAGGGTAATGCAGAAGAGAACTCTTTCCTAAAGACAGAAGGCAAAACTGTGCACCGAGACAGGAAAATTTTTGACAGTTTTTGCTCAGATTTCTTGCTGCTGCTCACTGGTGCTTGATAGACCAACTTCTGCTCTCCTCAACTGGAAGAGTGAATGCCTGTCTCACCTGTATGTCTAAGAGGGATGAGAAGGTCCTTACTGACTCATATGCTGTGACTGCAGAAAAGCAGGGCAATGTCTTGCCCAAAGATCATTAGAAAGATGTCTTGGGGTTAACAGCTATGCCTAAATAGTTGTCCTCTCACCTTGCACTCTCACTCCCATAGCTAAGCACATTCTAGCTGAGACTAGTGGGGTTGTGAACTACACAATAACTAATATCTCAATGACAAGATGGTAGAAGCAGAAGTCAGAGGAATTTAACTCTCCACCCACTCCCCCAAGAGCAAAGCAGTTTATTATTACCTCCTTCTTAAGTATTTTATCTAGGATAGCCAACATATTGCCCAGAGAGAGCAAAGTTTTGTCCTCTTTCACAAGGTCTGCATAAAAGCCACTGTAAAATAAATTATATGAAGAAAAAGTAGGTTAGAGGCAATAATGCTTTTGAAGAGGATGCCAATACAGTACTTTGCAGTTAGTATTGATAGGGTATGTTTTGTATAGGTGCTACACATTCATTCTCAAAAACCTAGCTTGAGCAGGAGGATGACAACATTGTTGCCTGACAGTCTCGAGCTCTCTAAACCTGTCTGCATTATGCACTGGAAAGAAAACAAAAGTGTCTGACAATATTCAGGAAAGAGTTCTGTCAAAAATTGACTTTCTAAGACAAAATTTGAGCTTCTCAAATCAGCCAAGTTTGGTATTTTTTTCAGCTAAAAGTGAACACAGAGCCTTAAAGTCACCTTCCTAGCTAAATCTCTTTCTAAATTAATACATTTGCACTAACTGTTCTATCTCCACTGAAAAAGTTTACTCTAAAAGTATTCTGCTTAGTACTTTAAAGGACTTCAAGGCTATGAGCGATAACCAACACCTTCAATTTTAAAGGGAAGAAACTCTGGCTATAATTGACTAGAATAAAATCAAGAAGATTACCACAGCAGAGACAGAGGTAGATGACAGTCTGTACAGAGACCTCTTGTCCTCATAATTATGTTGAAAATTAAATAGATAGAACCAACCTGACAAGAGTTTTAATTTCAGTTTTGTCCATTTCCTTCACCAAATGAACGGGTACAGGGAGCAAATGTGCTGATCCTTTAGAGTTAATTGTTGTTGCTGTTCTGATGGGAGGCACTGGAAATAGAATATTTCTCATGTGCAGTTCCAAAAACTTTTCTACTTTGACAGTTTCATCATCGTTAGTTATCTTAGATTCAAGTTCTGTGGAGGGATTTGGATTAGCCTCCTTCTGTAAGTGCGATCTGGTGCTTAAATTCTGTAAAAATGATGTCTCTAGAGAAAAAAAGAGGAGTTTCACATGTATTAATTCCCAAGCAGTATGTTAATATTTGGTTACATTTATTTACAAAACAGAGTATCTGTATTCATAGTATGCATGTTTATGTCCATGCACTAGCTACAATGTTTCCTGTCACAATTTTTTTTTAAGTTCTGCTACATTTGTTTTTGTCTAGTGAAAAGCCATATATGATAATGTCTTATGCCAATATTTTTGACACTGAAAACAGCATCCTCAAACAAAGATATCAAAGCACTACTTTTTGGCGTGATGTTTGCTGGCTTCAGAAGTTCTTTTCAGATCAGCTGAAGACATGGCCTTGAATGAAGCCTCACAGTGCTTCATCCGTCACTTGATTATTAACTGGTAGTTCAATTATTTTAATCCACTTATATTATTCTTCATAATTTTTAATTTCTGTACAAATCCATTTACCAATCACATCTGCAGAAAGAGAAGAAGAAAGAGAAGAGTAATTACCTTCATACATCAACCATTTCCAGTAGGGTTTATGTGCTGCTCTCACATTTTGAATGGATTCAACAGCACTAGAAAAGAAACAGCAGTATCAGCACTAATGAAAATACAGGAAATGTAACTTACCTCAATGAAAAAGCAAAAGTAGAAAATCCAACTGAAAATGAACAAACTTTGGTCTATTCCCAGAACGCAGAACAGAGAGGTAAAGAGAATGAGAGTCAATGGGCAGATTGCTTGGCAAGATTGGATTCAAGGGGCAAAAAAGAAAAGCGAGGAACATATGCAGTATGTACACATTTACACACAAGGAGTGAAATCTCAGCCTTGCTGTTGGAGGAAGCACACCTGTCCCTGACTTCAGGAAAGCCAAGATTTCACCTGTCTGTCTTTGCTTTGTCAGAGATTTTACCTATAGAATGTAGGCATCACTGGTATTTGCAGCACTAAAAGAAAATGCTCCTATTATGTTAGCTATCATATAAACATAATTCAGGTCCTGTTAAATGCAGGGCAGATTCTGCAGATTATTTGCAAGGTGTTCAGGCACTGGACTGATATGATGGATAAATATGTAATCAACTCTCTGCCACCTAGGATGATAGCAACCTGAGATGCTACAGCTGGTAGAGAAGAAAAAGAGGCGATACAGGGGCTATAGGATGTACTAGGGGAAAAATAACCAGCTTTGCTCCATCAGAGTTTACCAAACCCAACTCTGCCCACAGCTTGTCTATATTTACACTGCTTCCCTGTCTGAGCTGAGCTCTGAGTTTTAACTAACACAGATAACTGGTATGTGCTGCCTTCTACCCACCAAAATGCAGGAGGAGCATTACTACTTAAAAAAAGCACAGTACAACTATTGAGGTGGGAGAGAGACTGAGGACAGAACACAGAGATGTGGAGATGGTACAGACAGATAGAGAGAAAGACTCTGTTTAGATGTGGGATTGATTCAGGTCCAAGGTTCAGAATACTTTAGTAGGTCAGATTCACCACTGTGCAAACACAATCTTACTGTCACCAAGAAGAAGTTAGATCTGAAGTTTAATTATCTTGGTACAGCTTCACACAGCTGAATGCTTTCAGACCCCAGGCCCTGATGCTCCAAATTCCAGAAACACAAAGAGTCATCAGGACTGGCTCTGCACAGCACCAATTCTCACTGGTGAAAGGTTAGCTCCAGCTATTGCTGTTCTACAGCAACTGAAGTGGCTCTGGAGACTGAAGAACAAATCCTTCCAATTACACACCTTCCCAAGCACTGGCTGTTAACTGGCATTGCCCTGATTACAGCAGGATGGTCTCAGCTTTGAGTGGGATGGATCTCTGCAGGATAACAAGGCCCAAGGACAAGTAGCATAAAATTATATGCCATTAAGAAGTTCTCATAACCTGAAAAGCATGCAAAACTGTACCTCAGATGACTTTTTTGGAAAGCAAGTTATCCAAAGCAGAAAATAATATATTATAAAGCATCATATTAAAACCTTGCTTCAGCAAAATGTTCAAAGCATGCATGTCTTTAGTCTCTTTGATAAGTATGTGGGTTGTTCTAGAATTCTTCATATGCTTACCTTAGGCAAGGTGCCATTTCTCCAGTTATTTGAGGCACAGGATCTCCAAGCAAAGTTTTTACAGTCATGCAGACTGATTCAGACAATGACTTTAAGTGGTATCCACCCTAGAATAAAGTATTTTGTGTCACCTAAGGAAGAAGTATGTGTAACATCTACCCAAGTATCATCATGGAAAATAAGTGAAACTTTTGAAATATATTTAAATCTACAGGAGTGGAAGATGATATGCAAGCCAATGATAGCTAAGTCAATGATTTTCAATATGAAAACAGTGAATTTGGGGAACAACCAAAGATAGATTTAAGACTGCCAGACTGCAGATGATAGACTGCTTCCTGCATACCACCTGTGGAGCAGTCACATCATCTGTATTAGGAGGGGATGCTTATTTTCACTTCAGCTAGTGGACAGAAGTATCTATAATAGCCTGCTGGAGAGAAACACAATGGAAGAAAGGTCATGCAAAACAGAGGTCAAGTGAATCAATAAACAGTTCACTCTTGGAGACCTTGTTGGCAGTAGTATTTCCATACACTTATTTACCTGAAAAGCCACCATTTTTCTAACATGCAGCAGAAATAGGGAGTTGAAATCCAGATTTCAAAAGGAGGAAGCATTTTTAATTGTTTTGGTTTGTTTTTTTAGAAAAAGAGCTTGCTTTAAGTTGCTTGTTAAGTTCATTTCCTAGATTCTAGCTTTCCATATACAGCTCTAATATAAAGACCCTTCCCCTGAGAGTATGTTTCCAAAGTCTTTTACCTCTAGGATGACACACAGCTTTCCATTAGCTAACTGCATCAGGAAATGGGTAAGATGGGCAAAAACCTCAGGAGTGGCGTTCATCTGACCCTAAATCAAAGAAAAAATTTTAAGGGATAAAATCCTGAATCAAAAACATTGGTGAAAAAAAAAAACCAACATACAATCTGAAATACACGAGTCTGAGTTGGGATACTGGAACACTTGCCTCTCATTGTATCTAACAAAATGCAGAACCAACTGCTTTAAAGGAATGTGCAAAAACCACGCAGTAATCACGCCTATGGGATAATTTGCCCTTACATGTCTTGTTGTAGTATATAATGAGCTGGGGTCAGCTTAAAGACTCAAACATATATTTTTAGTTTGGTCAAAGTGAATTTCACCTAGCAATCACACCACATTTAAGAGGTTGGACTATTTTGCAAACAGATTTATGACTGACAACACAAAGGCCACAACAAGTTACTTACTTCAGGGTCTCCAATTCCAGAATCATATCCAGAGGAGACAAGAACCAGTTCAGGATCAAACTGTTATAAAACAGAGAGAGTTGCAGCACATTCTTATGTCCTATTTTAAATTTTGTACTGGATTTCAAAGTTCAGCTGTTTTTTCAGCTACAATATGAACACAAACAGTCTCCTTGAATAAAAACCAAGATTAGCCTTTTATACTATTTTAATTCCTGCTAGAGAAGCTGCAGGTCATTATATTGATTATTTAAAAGCTAACATTCTATAAATATTATTCAGTTGATCAGGACATTATTCATACCAGCAGAAATAATGTGCTACTGGCAATTACTGCATTTTTACAAAATATTAAATGGTACCTGCTTAAAAAGTACTTAGGAAGTAGTCTTTGGTTTTGCTATTCAAACGGCAGAGCAGTAAAAAAATTACCTCAAAAGCCATTGGAAGCAACACATGGAAAAATGCAGAAAGATAATCTGAATTTCCCATCCCAACCTGCAAAATGTCAAAAATAGAGGTCATATTTTCTTGTTGGAATAACAAATTTTCTAAAGTTCTTAATTCTTTAGG